GACGTCGATGTCCGTGACGTCACCGGATCTCCGACGGAAGACCCGGAAGCCGGCGGAGAGGTGAGTAACTTTGATCGATCAAAATAATTTTGATCGATCAAAGAAATTAACGATTTATTGACGGCACACCAGAAAATATCTCACGGCACACTAGTGTGCCGCGGCACAGTGGTTGAAAAACGCTGCCTTAGTCTACACCCATGTCATAGGGGGACTGGAACATGCAAATCTTTTGCGTGCAGTCACTGTTCAGCTGGAAATTTTCAGCCTGGCTCCTTAAACAAAAGTAAACTGTAAAATTGACTTTTGACAGATGGAATGGGGCTGACAGGGCCACCAACAGTATAAAGTTGACTGTCCCTGGTCTGCCCCGTTAATTAGCTACTTTTGAGTTCTTTCAATAATGGTGGCTCAGTATCACATGTAGGCATTACCTAGGGCAGTACGCATACAAATACAGTCTGCCTAGAAATGCCCTCTCTGCCAGGCTGACATCTTCCGATTTAAGGCATTTTGAGATCAAGATTTATGACTTTTTTTTCTTATGACTTTGCTAGCTGCATGCTGATTACTGCTTAGCATCTTAGAAAATATTGAAGCCAAGGACAGGTGATTGAGATTTTCTACATGGAGGCCAGTAATGGCAGCCTTCCTATTTCTCTATGTGCAAGGCTTCTTTCACTCCATGCCTGTTGCCACATTCCCATTGACTTGATGGATTGGCAGAACAGAGGTTGAAAGTAAAACTGGTGCTGGATCCGCAAACTGTATATATGGAGCCATATATTTTCAAGCAGACTTTGAAAATCTATATGACCCTTATTATATAAGATCCTTTATTTTCATAATAACCTCTTGAAGGGCCAATCCACCCCGAAGTGATATTGGTTATAGTTGGTGCCTGGTGAGTTTAGTAACCCCATGGTTCTTGTGTCTTCTCAACCCCAAGCCTGAACACTGACATAATTCTGGATTCTTTTTGTCCACCTTGATGTTTTGGGTGTTCCCATCCACCATTCGGATATACCAGCTTGTCCTGGTACTTTTTCCAATAAATTAAATAATTACTACCAAGGTAGAGTGAGTCCCTTTATAATGGCCAGATGTGCAGACCCAGGAACCTGACACACAGTCCTCGAGAGACAGAAAAAAAATGGTCAGAAGGTTTAAGCCACCATCTACAAGAAACTGAAATACCAATTTTGGGTGAACTGACCCATGAACAGGGGCCATATCAACCCATACCAGCAGAAATCCAATTACAAAGTTCTGACTGCTTTTTATACCCTGTTTGTGCCAGATTTAAGAAGCCTGTATGTGTCCACTGTACCACATCTTAATTCAGATATATCCGCAATGGAATCAGAGAACAATAGCTTGCTGGGGCTTGGCATACACAGGGACATTTTTTTTTACATCTTTTAGTGTTTGGCCAGTTTATGGGTTATATATTGAATTATAAATATTTGGGATGACATGTTCTGTGGGAAGTTTAAGATATAAGATATGTTTATAAAAGTGGTCCTCTGAGTGCAAAAAAGATGTTAATGTGGGTTAATATTTCACTGTTTAAAATCTTTCCTAGTTTTAGTTTATGTACTGTATGTACATGTTTCTGTATAGTGTTGCAGCATGGGTATTGGGATTACTTCCTCTCAGTGCCAGTTTTTTAGTCTGTTCAGAATGATTGTAATGTTTAGGTGTTTTATCCGGTTATCTTGCCATGGATAATTATTATAGAATTATCATAAAATGGACTTGTATACAATGAATGGATTTAAGCAACATTTTTAGCAGATTCTAACCTGCCACAAATTGTTTGAAACTCAAACCTGCATTCCATTCATCTCCTTCTATCTAAGGCTTAAGCTGGCTATACACGGTTAGAATTTCATTTGAAAGTAACTTGATTTCAGGTCTAATGGGGTCAATTCGATGATCGATTTTCAACTGTAGTGGCAAACATTTTTTACAAAATTGGAGGAGCAGGATGCAAACTTTTTCTCGATTGGAAAAACATTCTAGTGAATGTGGTTTTCCTTCCAGAAATTCCAAAATCGAATGTTAAAATTGGACAAAATTTTGATCGACATTTGTCAAGTCTGAAGGCATTATCAAATGTTCCAACTAGATTCTCATATGAATGTTCAAAGGAAAATCTACCAGTGTATACCCAGCCTAACTCTTCTCAGACCTTTGGGTATTATGAAGTTGGTCAGAAATGGCAGTTTTTCTAACTTTTAGCAAGCACTTTGTTGTATTTAGAAAACAAAAATTAAAAATATGATTTGGAAAATTGGAAGTATATGGGACAGATTCATGTGAAGTGTGAATTTTAAATAGGGGTGATGGTGATCACACACAAGCAATGTATAGGGTGTGGGGCGATAGATTGCCCCAGGACCCTTGATGGTTCCAATTTGTCAATTAGTGGCAGTAGAGGTCAGATCAATTTTACATTCTGTATGCTGGCAAGGTCTCCAGAACTGTTGTCCTGGGAAATTAGACTTTGGATTCGATTAGCTGTTTGTGTGGACTATGTATGTTCTTGGCTCTGTTATGATGTTGAACTATTGGTAGAGGGAAAAACAAATGTTCTCAGGTTGTGCAACTCAGCATTATTTTTTGGACTCTGTAGAAATAAAAATGTAATGCTATAGGTTTAACATAGGTAATTGTGCTAAAGCAAAGTAGAAGCTTTAACTGTTTTAAATATATTGTATACCAGTACATTTAAATTGAGGAATAATACTGCATGAAAAACATATGTGAAATCTGATGTGTTCCTAATTCTTTACCCTTCTTTCTATGACCCTATTCAACTAAGTTAAAAGGTTACTCTAGCTTATCTCTTCTATGCCTCTAACCTATCTAATCTTTTTCTCTTGTCAGTCTCTCTATTGTTTAGGATGTGTAGGAGTAGGCAACCTTAGCACTCCAGTTTTTGTGGAACTACAAGTCACATGATTTGTGGTTTCACCACAGCTAAAGTGCCCTGTTGCCTTCCCTTAGCTTAGATGTGTGCAGGAATGTCAACTGATCTCCTAGCCTTGAGTCTCACACACTCTCTCTCTCTCTCTCTCTCTCTCTCTCTCTCTCTCTCTCTCTC